CCCCAAAACCCCAAAACCCCAAAACCCCAAAACCCCTTAAAAATTAGTAAAAATTGATTTAAAAATACTAAGCATATACTTAAAATTTCACTCAAATTACGCAAAAATGCAATCAACAAAAGCTCAAGACTACCAATTCTACACCTGCTTCTGTGGCTGAGTGTGTAAGTCTCTTAAAAGGCTTATCCTGCATTGCCTCTCCTCTCACCCGCTAGGAGAGGATCCTGACAAAGAGATGGCCAAAAAGAAAGGAATCCGTAAAAAGAGAGGAAGACCCAAAGTGATACCTGAGTCAGAACTTGCTAAACGAGAGATGCTAGAACGAGAGACTTTCAAATAAGTTCCTACTCAAAGTTGTCAAAAGACAGGATAAGGCTCTCTTCAAGAGCTTTAATGCTTATGGTAATTGTGAGTCTCCGCTCCTGTGGTTCTATAGTCCGAAACCGCCCAAAACTCTTGATCAGACAAGTGTCTTATATCGTAAACTCCAGGAAAGAATCGGGGAGAAAATCACTGAAGCAGATATTAGACGGAAGAAACAAGAGGGAATCCCTCTCACAGACCTTGAAGAATGTGCCTTCAAAAGAATAACTCGACAAGAAGATGAGCTTGCTACTCTTGACTGGATATTCGTTGAGTACTTGCTGACTTATTATCGGATGGTAAAGCCAGGATTTTATCAGTTCCTCACATGCTTTTATGAAAATATGAGAAACTCCTTTAATATCCATGGATGGGATGTAGAAACAAATTTTGGAATAGTTAGTAGAAAGTTCATCCCAAACAAAGAATATTGTTCAGAGAATGGCACGAAGAACCTTTTAAAGCTTATGGAAATTTTTAGAGCCAGATATATCCCACTAAATTGTGAGGGATTTCCTAAAAAGCTTACAAAAGCACTCTGAACTCACTTTGTAGAATGGTGTTATCAAAGAGGACTTTCAGAAGAAACTTTCTGTGGAAATATTTATGACTCTTGATTTGACAAATCTGATAATACAGAAGAAAGCAAAAATGACTCTGATGATGATTTCTTTATGGAAAAAGAGGACGAAATCGTAAGCACTCCTCAAAGTTCTTCGATATTCCAAGAACTATACAGTAATCAACCTTCTGAATCCACACAAAACTGGGAACAAAAGGTGAGACATTTCCTCACAAACATCGACACAATCTCTGTCCATGAATTTATAGACCCCAGTAGTCTTCCTTACTTTTCTCCAAAATCCACTTCAGAATTCAAGACCAAATACGATCTCTACACTGATACCTCCGGTGCTATCCAAGCTCGCTGTAAGTCCTCCTCCAAGCTCGCTAGAGACCTCCGCCTCGCCTTCCTCCGTAGCTCTAAACTCTCTGGTGTTTCCCAGACTTCTCTCCCAAATCCTCCGCCAAGTCAGCTTCAGATCTCTTCGCTAAAGCCCTCTGTGGACCCTCCAAAAAGGAGAAAGAGAGGTCGGCCAAGGAAGATGTCAATTACCGCCACTGACCATTCCGACTAAGACACTAATCACATATTTTCAGTCTTACTTATCCTTAAGGGGTTTTGGGGTTTTGGGGTTTTGGGG